GGGGCTTTCTTGGCGGCCTCTCGGGCCGTCTGGGGGCATTCCAGGGGACCTTTGGCCGTTTGGGAGCGTCGGGTCACCGAACCTGCGAGAACGCCAGAAATCTTCAAACATATTTCGGGGATCCATGGTTTTGGTATCTTGGGGCCCCCGTGGAGGCTTGTGGTGGCTTTCTTGGAGGCCTCTCGGGCCGTCTGGGGGCAGTCCAGGGGGCCTTTTGGCCGTCTGGGAGCGTCGGGAAACTGAACGTGCGAGAACGCCAAAAATCTTCAAACAAATTTGGGGGATCCATGATTTTGGTATCTTGGGGCCCCCGTGGAGGCTTTTTGGGGCGTCTTGGAGGCCTCTTGGGCCGTCCGGCCGGGGGCCATCTTGGGCGCTCAGGGCCATCTTGGGCGCGCTAGCCATCTTGAGCACCGTCTTCGGGGCCTTTCGGCGCCCCCATCGGCCCGTCGGTGGGACCTCTTGGGCGCGAAAAATCAATGCGACGGCCCGCGTGGAGCTCCCGGCGCGCCGCGACAGACCCCGAGAGAGTTGGCAATCGGGGCCAAAGGCCCCTCAGCGACACCTCAGGTGTGCGGATTGACGCTCAGGGGTCTCGGGGGGGGCCAGAGGGCGCCCAGAGGCATGGTGGCGGACCTTGGCGAACGTCCCAATGCATGCTGGATAACTTGAGGCAAGTCGCCATAGTGCTCAGCACAGGAGCAGTAGCACGAATAATCAGAGTAGCTGCGGTAACAGCGCGAAGTTCGACGAGTTGCTGGGCGAGTTCGCCAGACAAACCAAATAGAGGGCGCGGAAGTATGGCATGTCCAATTCTAGCGGAAACAAGGACAACTGACTCGAGGACGCTTCCACTGCCGGGGGGAACTCTCCTCGGCAGTCGGACTCACAATCAAAAATACCCGCCGCCCCCCGATCAATGCCTGGCGGCCATTCGACCATAGTGCCAGACCAAATGTGGACATCGCTCGCGCGGCAGGCGCCAGCTGACGGCATGAGGGCCCTCCTGGAGCGCGTGCAATCGCACATGGGCCTGAGACCCCGGAGGCCTGTGACGTTGAGATCAAGGATGTGGGCTCCGAAGCCGTCGCGTTTAATTCCGGTGATCCCGAGGCTGGGCTGTGGATCAAGGCGCCCTTGGCGCTGGCTTCGTCGGCTCAGCCGAAGGAGGCAAGAGGGGCGCGCGTTAGGTCCCGGTGCCATCTGACGCGAAAGGGTCGTTGGTCACGGCCCAGGGCCGACAAGAAACGACTTCCGACGCAGTCGAGAGCGCCGCGCCTGCTCTTCTCGATCGCCAGGGATACGTTCGAAGCGCAGTCGTAGGAGGGGGCGACTCAAGGTCGAGTTCTTGACATCGTGGGAGGACGAGAGATGTGCAGCCAGACGTTGAGCAACCCCATCACGGCGAAGAGAACTCGGCCTGTCCCTTCACAGATGCCTCGACGCGACAATGCCGCGGCGGATGATGATGCATGCAGGGCGCGGGGTACGGTGGCGTTGCCGTCGGCCCCGCGCCGCCATGGGTCGACGCCGCCCGCTGGGGCAGATCGAATCAAGCGGGGTCGAAGACCTCGCGACGGGGGCCAACGCCAACGGGGTCAGCCAGAGCGCCCGATCTTGCTGGATCCTGTAGGCCCAGGGTCGCATTGACACGGGCTTGGGCGCGGGATCTTGCAGGATCTTGCAGGGTCGTTCGAATTGACCCGGGCTTGGGTGCAGGATCCCGCAGTATATTGCAGGATTCCGCAAGGCCTGACTGACCTGGGTCTGGATTGACCCGGGTCAGGAGATCCCCGACGGGATATCCACGCGACGTTAGATCCAATTTGTCTTTAACCCCCGAAAGATTGAGGACGTTTGTCTTGGAAGTGTCGCGCACATCGCTCCGAGAAAGAGAAAAAGGTCGCAGGGCAACGGATGACCTTCAGTGCGGGGAAAGGAAAAGAAGACGGCATCCGTTGCCAGTTCCGATATGTCTGCCGTGAATCGAATGTCCATTTGGAGAAGGATGTTGAAGCCCTACAGTTTGCCCGGCTACGCTGATCACCGCCGCCCAGGAACATCGGGCAACTGTATCCGGCCTGTGTGAAGAGTGCTCGCGGACCTGCAAGCAGTGCAACATCAATTTCCGATGGGTCGATACAATCGGGCAAACAATGCATCACTGTTCCGCCATAAGACAAGCCGCGTGGGAAGCTGGCCGCCATCGGTTTGGCTCAGATGCAGGCGCGTTTTCAATGGCAGATCCGTGACCGTTGTCTTGTGTACTTCCAGCTTAGACCCCGCCCTTCCTGGGGAGGGGAGCAGGGTGAGCGTGGGGGGCCCAAGTCAACCACTCCTTTCGTGAGCTTCTGGGAGGTCCAGCGTGCTGGTACTCTACTCATAGCTAAAAGAAGCCGCGCCCTCACGTGGCGCTGCGAACTGAGGGTCTGTCGCCACTGTCGTTTTTCCTGGGGTGTCCACCGGTGTGGTGCCAAACGCAGATCAGAGTTTGGCTGCG